GCCTATCCATGTCCCTATTGCAGAATTCTAATCCATTGTCAGTTCTAAGGGTTTTAACCCTACATCCAGATTGGTTTTCTACCATAATTTTCCAGTCTTTAAACCTACCATAAACATCAGACTTATGTTCTAACAAACAGACCCAGACTTTCCTAGAAAAGTCATCAATTATGGACAGAAAGTACCTCCTACCCCCATGGGTAGGGACACTGGAAGGACCCCACACATCTGCATGTATGTAGTCAAGAACAGATTTAGACTTGGGCTCATTAGGATAACTAGAGACAGGAAACTGAACCCTATGTTTTTTACCTAAGATACAACCCTCACAGAATGGTATAGGTGACACTAAGTCAGTTCCAAAACACCCAGATTTTTGTAGAATGTTCAAACCTTTGTTACTCATATGACCAAGTCTTTGGTGCCAAAGCATAGACTTGTCAGTGAGTACAACATTAGCATTTTCAAAAAATGGTTTAGCATGAACAACATACAGGTTATTTTGTTTCACAGCTTTGAATACAACAAGAGAGTTTTTCAAGATTTTCATGCACCCACTCCCCCATTTACCCTCAAGGCCACATTCTTCAAAAGCAGAAACAGAAAGTAAATTATGCCTAAGATCAGGGACATGTCTAACATTTTTTAACTTGAAAACAGTTCCATTTTCAAATTTGAGACTTATGTCACCCATACCATGAACCTTACACTTCTTACTATCAGCTAGGGACACATAACCCGAATCACAAGTACTATAAGAAGTAAACAAGTTTTTAAAAGGTGTCATGTGGTAGGTACAACCTGAATCCATCAACCATTCAGACTCAGTTAGATTGCTTAGGACAGAGTTAACCTGATCACAAACCATAAACACTTCTTCACTAACATGTTTATTGGTCACTGAGTTGGCCTGTTCATTTCTTTTGGGTTGGGTACAATCTTTTATGAAGTGACCAGGGTTCCCACAGTTATAACACACTCTTTTCTTTGACTTATACCTTTTCTTACTAGGTTGTCTACTGTTTTTATCTTGGTTATTCTTCCTAGGGTACCTAGACCTACTCTTAGATCTACCCTTGACAAAGAATGCTTCACCAGATTCCTTAGTGTGATTGTTATGACCCCTAGAGTGCCTTAAGTCTAGCTCTTTACTTTTCAAGCCATTAATTACAATATCTAAGGTTATGTCATCCCTTTTTTTTTTTATCCCGGAAGGCAAACCACCAAAATCAGTGGGGCAAATGCCGGGAGTCAATTGTCGTTATTTTATTAATATAAAGTAGAGGTACAGAGACAGAATAAGCTACAAACATAAATGACAATATTAATTCCTAAATGATGGGATCCCATTTTTATCGAGCTCGATTAAGGATCTAATGTGAAAAGATAAAGTATCATTAGTGTGGTTGCCAAAAGAAGCCGAATGAATTCCCATCTGAGCAATAGAATGAGCAACCGAATTCATTTCTCTAAACACATGCTTTACTCGGACATCCATAGATTCACACCGGTTTTGAGCTTCATCAACCATACGTTGTAGATAAGCTGGGGACTTGGTCTTGCGCATCAAAATCTTTGTAACCATCTCCGAGTCTGATTCCAGCTGAAATCCAGAAAAACCCAACTTTCGACACCAATCTAGAGCGTGGAGGACCGCATAAAGTTCCGCCTGAAGAACTGTTTTGGCCCGAATCGGCGAGCAAAGCGCTGCGATCATATCGCCCTTCTCGTTTCTGAGTATCGCACCACCAGCACAGGTTATGTCATCCCTTCCATATTTAATGGCAGACTTAACATCATTGTAGGAATCAGGAATAGCATTAAGAAGGACAATAGGGGTATAACCATCAATATGTTTATCCCCAGCTTGTTTTATGTTTTGGATCAATTTTTGAAAAACATCTAGGTTTTCCTCAAAGTGTTTAGTTAGGTCAAGTCTGAACCTAAAACATTTTTCCAATAAAAACAGTTTACCAGGAAGGGAAGTGTCAGTATAAGTGGACTCAAGTTTATCCCATAAGGCTTTGGCAGACTCAAGGATCTCAACTTTCCTAAGGACAGAGGCAGACAAGTTCAAATATATTGTGGAACAGGCTGTTTCATTCATCTCGGTTTGCTTAGACTTATCCTCAGACTCTAAGAACCGACCAGTGACAGCCCTATACACTTTTTGTTGAATGAGGACACACTTTATCTTTTGTTTCCAGATATCAAAGTCAGATTTACCATTAAAGGGAAGCATACCATACATATTAGAAGTCATGGTACACAACAACCAAACACAGTTAATGAGCCAAGTGTAATGCAGGGGCTTAGCCCTAGAAGGTTAGGCTGCGGACTAAGGGACCACGCAGATCCGGGGCCACTGAGGTGGCTGGCAGGGAATCCCCTAGCCCTAACCTCAAGTGCCTTAGCCAACTAGGGTTTTACAGCCAAAGTATTACAATGGATCAGAAACTAACAACACAAGTAAAAGAGTATACAGGAAACAGAATAAAGTCACAAACAACAAAGGGCCAGAATACAAGCAATAATCACAAAGGTGCACAGATAATCACACAGACAATGGTGGGCTAAGTTCGACACAGATTAGCACCACCCATGCACAAAGTTAACAGCCCTACAGTTTCTGCAGGTCTGTCTAGACAGATCCTGCACATGCAATAAAATCTAGGGTTTCTAACCGGCAGTTCTTCAAGCTAGGGTTTCAGAACTACCCATGCATCACAGAAGCCGGTGGCACTCCGGCAGCCCAAGATAGGGTTTAAGCTGATATACCTGAGCGGGAGTCTAGATCAGACAACTCGACTTACCAATCTGAGGAGGAGCCTAGGCAATACCAGTTTGGGGAAGTACTTCCGGCGAGTCTCCGGCGTCGGCGAGAAGAGGCAGCTTCCAGCTCTGATACCACTATAGAGTTTCTGGACCGGCTCAGACCTCAATCACCATAGCCCAAGGGCTAGCTCACCATTCATCACCAAGGAGTCAACAAGGGAAACCAGAGGGCATCAAGTCTCAAACGCTCAGTTTAGTGCCCAACCCCCCAGACCAGACTGTCCAGAAAACCCCACCGGAGAGGAACCCCCCAAACTACCAGCACAGAGTGAAGCCCACAAAAGGATCCCCAAGGTATCACCGGAGGGTAGCCGGAGCTCAAACCCTAGATGATACCGCCACTCTCTCACTCTAGGACTGGGGTAACCGGAAAGACTGCTCATCGGATAGAGAGAAGGGAGGGGCGATCAAATAGGCGGTTCCAGAAGGAACCAGACAATATAAGAGAAGGGCCACAGGAGTCACGGGCTTGGGCAAAGACAAAAGGGGGCGTATGGGCTGAGTCAGGCGGACAGCCCAAAGAGGGCCAGGGTAATTAATAGCAGACAAGGCTATTAAATGGGATGGGCCAAGGATCCAGTGAGGTGGACCAATACCTACTCACAAGTCAATTGAGAAGTAAGTTAAATAAATTATTAAAAAATATTGCGTCAAAATATATATAACACATCAGGTTATTTTTGAACGCCTTATTCGTTATTATGACAATTATTTGAAATATAATACTCAAAGTATGATATGTTAATATATACTCTACATATATATCAAGTATATATTTTCTCCAAATTATATTATATTATGTGTGAAATCTTACTTAGCAAGAGCTAATTTTAGTTTCTGTTTTCTCTTTCCTTCTGGGAAATTTACAGGTGATGATTGTGATAAATGATTACTTTTGAGAGCGTTGCCTAGAAAATCTTGAAATAAACATAATTTATGATGTTATTCTGAATAATGAGTTAAAATATCTTTACTTTAATTGAGGTTTTAGTGGTGGATAGGCTTAACAGTTAATTGAGGGTTGAATGCAACAATGACACTCCTGACTCCCATATTCAATATATTCAATGTTGTTATATATTCTGCAGTATAATTTTTAAATGTTTAGGTATTATAACTTTATAAGCAGTTTAAATATCATACGATAGGTTATTATGATTTCATGATTTCATCTACTAATTAAATATAGACTCGACAATAGAAACTAAGAATTATTTTTCCATTATTAAAAATCGCCATTTTACATCCCAAATCAATGTGTAGTGCATGGGTGTGGGTAAATCATAATGACAAATGGTACAAGAGGAATACCGTGCTCACGGTACTCACCTTTAATTCTTCTCTTTCACTTTAATTACTTTTAATATTTGACTAATATTTTTTTATGCTCACGGTACTCACCTTTAATTCTTCTCTTTCACTTTAACGACTTTTAATATTTATTTTTTGATCATTTGTGATCTTTATGAGATTTTTAACCATTTTTGCTAATAATGTCTTTCACCAACTTTTCAACGATTATTATTTCCATCATTTGCAATTATTTTTTGGCTTGAGAATATGATGGAATAAAACAAAATGACTCACCAAACTGTCTACTCTTTTTGTTATGAAGCAGCAGTCAGTCCATGCAATTTTGGACGCGTTTTTCAATATGGGTCATCCAGAAACAATCTCTCTGTGCTTTAGTACAGGAGTAAGACTGCGTACATCCAACCCCCCTACCCACCGTAGGTGGGAGCCTTTGCGGCACTGGGGTAAATGATGATTGATGATTGATTGAAAGAACTTATATTAGCAAAAAACAAAATCTTTAGTATTCATAGGAACAAAGTGGAATTTATTCGTGGATATATTACCATAATAGGTAAAGAATATGTGACAGATTGGACATAAAATCTCAAAGGTAAATGCGCATACTTGTGTTGAGTAAAGGCAAAAGCACTTTGAAAATTAACCAAGGAATAATGAAAATGCTGGAAAATGATTGAGGTACACAAAATGTGTACACATATATGTCATTCGCAGAAATTTTGTCGACAACTTATTTTGTGTTTAGTAAAGGCAAAATTTTTGTGAAGGACAGACATGTGTACACATTTTATGTACACATTTTGTGTACCCCTAGCAAAACTCGAAACTGCTAACCAAAGTCCACCGGTACTGTTTAAGGAGGCTTACTTATTCATTCATTTGGGAGAATATTCGTAAAGAATATTCTCTGGGCTGTATGTATTTTGAAACAATAAAATGTTGTGATGCATTACGAAATGAGTAAAGTAAAAGAGATATATGAGAATCAACTAGCATCCATATTTTTTAAAAACACTACCATCTGCAAAGGGAAGAAAGCATAGGGAATGGTAAGTTGGGTTGCAGAAAACTAGATTCCAAGCCCAAGGAGAGTCATCAAAAAATCTCTGTAATCGCCTGATGTGTCATCTGCAACTGCTTGATCCAGACTGGAGGAGTTCATCTTGTTATATTCTCCTCTAACTTTCAACATATCAATTTCAGCCCGAGTTACAATCGCTCTAGTTAGAGCATCCTCATCAGTTCCAAGCCCAATGACCGAGGTTCTCACAACCTGGAATATGATAAAAGATCAAGTCAGTTTGAGTTGGCCATAAATGAGCTATATCTGCCCAGGGGAAAACGTTTAAAAACTACCAGAGAATTCTACTCTTTAGTTGAACAAAACGGGTAAGATTCAACCAAATTCTCCATCTGTCCTAAAAATTAAGCCCTGTTTGAACTTTTACTTCCCCTCCTAGAAAACAGTTGTGTATGAACAAAAGAATATAACTTTCATTCATTTTACACTTGGACAGTTCAACTAGAGCTTTGCTACAAGGAAAAAGTTCTACCTTGGTAAAGCAATTATTTGGAGGGGGGAGGCAAGTAGTAGATTAAAAAATAGGAGTTTAGACTAGGAGACTAGATTCAAGGACACCTTAGATTCAAATATTTAAAAATAAGAGAAATGCAGAAAGTGTATAGATATGATATGAATACAAGCTGCCAGATTTTTTTTTTACCTCAGCAAAATGTTTCTCTGGGGAGTCAATGCACAAGATGACTACCTTCATGATAGATTCCAAAAGGCCTTTGCCACAACTTGTGATATGCTGCAAAGTGCCAAAGTCAGATAAGAATGAAAGCACAGAATACAATAGACTTCGAGATTGAAGGGGAAAAAATCATGAAATAAGTTTGTGGTTAAAAAGATAACCTGATCAATAGAATATCCATAGTCTTGTTTGTAGCGCTCAAAAGATGCCCTTAGCTGACCAAGATTCCTAGTACTGAGAATATATATTACATCATCACTGTGCAGTTGTCGCGTTTGGATGGCTTCATGAAGCTTAGCAGCCTCTAGGTTGGCGATGGTTGTATCCACTACCTTTTTGTCATACCTGTAGGAACTTACCAAACCAACCAGAACCTGTACAACATAGGCAGGGAATGTCAGGGAAATTATCCTAGTCTTTCACCAATAGTAATCTAAATAAACGCAACTCATTCTATCAAAAAATAAATACGCAAAAAAAAAATGCGAGAAGAGTATACGATTAAGCCATCTTGCACTCACAAAATTTGAAAACACAGAGTCATACGTAAGACTTTATGTTAGTACTCCACTTTTTAGAATGGAATCTCAAGTCTTAATATATCAAACTTTTGAAGGATGGAATTATTTTCAAATAAGATTGAGTGCATAAGTGAGCAAACATAACTACGAGTACACACTTAGAGCTTGTTTGGTTGGGGTATTCTTTTGATTAGGGAAGGGAGGATTGGTTTTCATTAGATTTGTGTGTCTCTATATGTTAATCTTAGACTACAAAAGAGTTACTTTAAATATGATTAGTTACAGCATGTACTTCTACATAATTTTTCATATTCCTTTTCATTCAAAATGTCTAATGTAAAGTAAGAATAAATAAAAAGAAGTCATTCCTCTCCTTCAATACTGTCTCAAATCCCCCAACCAAAGAAAGGCTTACCTTCTTTAAGGGCATAGAGATGTTTGCTATGATGTCTTCTTCGAGAGAGCAGTCAAAAAGAGAGCAGTATGCTCGCCTCACAGCAACCAGATGGTCAGAAGATGATGCACATGCTATCTCAACAATTATTTGTAATTCTCCTACGCTTTCCTTCCTTGACTTTAATGCCTTATTTGCAAGCCGTGCATCTCTTTCAGGAGGGTCATATGTCCATAGAACTACAGCTTTCTGCCATTCAACATAAAGTGAACTCAAGATGCGCAGAAAATATGAAGAATAGCAAGCTCTTAAATCTTAATAAATTAACTTATAACAAGCATTTTTAATCCGCAGTCAAGATGCTAATCCTCTTCCAATATTTCCTCATCTTCATCTTTTAAAAAGGAATGCTGTACCTGTTTATATCAGTATGTCAACATAATTATTATCTGACTCAGAGAGTAATTCAAATGCACATCCTTCCTAATCTTCATTACACCCCCCAACCCCCATTCAATTAAGCTTCACCAGTTGACAAATTAGAGTTTCTCATTCCGGTCAAATATAAAGATATACATTATCAAATATGATATTTGACTACTACTTGTATCAGATTAGCGTTTTAGGATGAAACGCTTACTCACAATTCAAGATAAGTGAAAGAATAAAACTATGAGGCCTTAACAATTAACATGATGAGATATGAGAAACAATTACTCAAAAGTCAAAACAGACATAGCTGTGAAGGAAGCAAGGTTTAAATACTTACAATTACTTTGAATTACTAAATAACATGAACAGAAACACTTATACACCATAACAAGCTGGAAACATACTCATCCAAAACTTCATAGCTAAACAAGAAGATGAACAGTGAAATTTACCTCAAAAGTAAAAACAGCGAAGCTAAGCGCAATAGTATAAAAAGATTGGAGAACTAACCAGTCATTAGACAATCACAAATGCAACTTCAAAGCAATACACACACATATAAAGATGGTTCATATTCTTAAAATTGTGATCATGGATTCTACTCTTTTGAATAAAAAAGCACTAAGGCTATAAATAATCACTCAAAATTAGTTAAAGAAACCTTTATGTTTAGCATCCTCGTAAAAATGTGAAATGTCAATGTCTTCGATTTTTAGACTAAGAATCAAAATACATTTATTTTTCCAAAATTGATTGCTTTCTCAAAATAATTTTATGTAAAACCACAAATGACATTTCCCATAAAATTGAAGATTTAATTAAGATTACTCGCTTAGAGCATAAGGTACTTGGGCTGAACCTACTAAGAGGTTGAATCAACTATTCACTGGTTCAACTAAAAGTTTTATTAATCTATTACTACATTTGTCTCATTTTTTCTATTTATCTATATCACTAAGGGAGTGTTTGCGATTGCTTCAACTTTAAAAAAGTGATTTTTAATGTGATTTTGGGAAAAGTGATTAATAGTAAAAGTTGATAGTGTTTGAGAAAAAAGTGATTCTGAAAAAGTAAAAGTTGGTAGTGTTTGGTAAAATAAGTATTTTTTGTGTAATAGAAAAAGTGAGAAGCAGTTTAAAACACCCTTCTACCTGCTTCCATCTTTTAGCTTTTAAGTGATTAATTTAAGCAGAAGCTATCATTTGAAAACACTCTTTTCAACTTTTTTTAAGCCAAAAGCTGAAAAGTAAATCCCAAACACTCCTTAAGTTTGTCTCATACCATATACCATATGTTAATAATATTGTGGTTCTAGTGCGTTCTTATTCTACTTATACTTTACAAATTCAGTATCAAGTACTCCCTCCGTCCCTTAAAACTTTGCCAACTTTCCTTTTTTGGATGTCCCACTAACTTTGCCACTTTCTCTTTTAAGTAAAAAATTTGTGGTTCCTGTTAATTCTCTCTCCTCTGCACAAATCTCTACCACACAATTTTTAAATCCCCGTGCCGGTCAAACTTGGCAAAGTTTTAAGGGACGGAGGTAGTACCTAACTCAACTTTTCTAAATATCCCACTATTAGTGGGATGTAGGAAGTACTTTTTACGTAGTATTTCTTTATCCAACGTGGACTTGAATGGGGGGTGAATAATTTATTTACGGAGTATATAATAACGTTTAGAAAAGATGGAATTTACCATGAAATCACCAGATAACTCGGAATGGAGATCATCAATCAGGGATTTGTCGTAAAGCTGTTGATAAGTTTCTCTTATCTTCTTCCGTTGGCTTGCATTTCTATGCCCCAAAACCCTTATGATTTCTTTCTCATCAGTTCCCAGTCCTAAACAAAGACAGAACTTCCTTTAAGTCCTTATACCCAATTCCACAAATGACATTGTCGAAAACAGAATTGTTACGAGGCCCTAAATTTTAATCCTATGAAAGTGATTCGCACTTGGGGAAAAAAATGGGAACCCAGAATTACAAAAACTGTAGAATATGAAGGAGACCTTTAAATGCTTTCATGATTCTTTCGCAGTCCTCTGTTGGAGAAGGAATCACTTCTGGTAATTTCAGCGTACCCATTTTTCCGTTTTCCTTTTTTCCCCAAAGATTTTGATGTATTGTGATCGGTAGCTATGGAAGGTGATAGCTGAGATTCAGTTTCTGCGTTGGGTTCAGATGTTTCTTCCCCATTACTACTCGGAACTCGTAACGTAATCTTGAATTGCTCCATTATCTTGCAACCTGATGGGAGGGTATTGACCACTATATGGCGGTTTTCACTCCTAGCTTTGACCATCCCGTTTCTTGAAATTACGTGTCACGCAGTACGTACGTGGGGCTAAGTAATTATGGGGTTATTACTAAAAAAAAGAGTTTCTATTATTATCCAAAATAGGACTAAAAAAATTTGAAAATTTCAAAATAGGACTTTTATATTTTTATTCCCAAAATAGGACTATTTATTGTCATGTTTTTGCAGTACCAGACTTCAAACATGTCAGTATTTTCCAAATTTGGCAATAATTAGTCCTATTTTGGGAATAAAAACATGACAATTCTATTTTGGAATTTTCAAACTTTTTTAGTCCTATTTCGGGAACTTTTCCAAAGAGTTTTGGATAAAAAGAGACATTTTCTCTAAGTTCCAAATATGAAACTAAAATATAATCCCTCCATCCTGCAAAATAGTTTCCGGTTTCCTATTTGGATCGTCCCAAAAAATAGTTCTCATTTCCTTTTTTAGAAAGTTTTGTGTGGCTCTCACTCATTTACTTTTTTCTTATTCAACCACAATTATAAATCTATACATTTCCACTTTCTTCTCACTTTCTTAAACTCTTATCCAAGTCAATGCGGGAACTATTTTATGGGACAGAGGGAGTACTAAAGGGACTATAACACCCTTACTAGTTACTAAGTCCAAAACAACTTAACATGTTACAGTAACTCGTTACAGTGACCAAATGTGCAGTGACCAATGTCACAATGACTCCCTTTGAGAGTGACAAATACATAGTTACAAAATTCAGTCAGTGACCAAAAATCCGTCAGTGACAAAAAAATCCACCAGTGGCCCGTCGTTGCCAGTTGCAGTTACCCAATCTGTAGTTACATTTACCAGACCCGACTAGTTATAGTTTTCCGTCCGACTGGTTACAATTACCTGACCAACCAGTTATATTTACCTAACTCGATTTCTATAATTATACAACTCGACCCGTCACCGTTGTCTATCTGACGCTGTCACGCCATCCAGTGAGCATTGCCTCACATGTTCCAGTTACCACCGCCAGTCCATTAACCGCCGCCTCACCCTTTCCGGTTACCACAACACGTCTATTAGCTGCCGCCCCATCCATTGACCCCACCCCTATCGTCCGGTGACCGTCGTCGCCGCTTGCACCTGCCCCTTCCCAGCTACCATCCTAACAGCCCCACCAGCCCCTGCCCAGTCCCCTTCCCAGACCTAGACCCAAACCCAAACCCAGTCCCCTTCCCAAACCCAGCCTCGTACCCAACCTTAGCCCCAAACCCAGCCCAGCCCGGATCCAGCCCCCTCTGCCTCCCCACCTCTCAGCCCCGCACCTCACCCCACTCCCCCCACCGTTCCCTGCGCCTTCCCAAACCCCTGTCCCCAGCTCTGCTCTCATGTTAGCTGGATTTCGTTCACCTCCACCATCAGAAAGAAAAAGAAGAAGATCTGGTGTGGGGCAATGGAGAGGTCTGCGATGCACACGATGATGGCGGCTGAGATTTTCCGGTCGGCGGCAATATCAAGATCGGCAGCGATGATTTCTTTGAAGCAGAGACATGCGATGCATACACCGCCAACTGTGTGATGCTGAGCGACGGAAGTGGGCAAATCGATTTTGGGGCATTTTGGTCTCTTCGGCTTTTTTTACTCTCTTTTCTGTCCATACAGAAATCATGTCTTATATTTGTCATTTGTAAAGCCCATAGTATTGCTTTTGTCATTAATTCTTTATATGGAGTAATTAGTTTTTATTTCGCATATTTTTTGAATTAATCAATTATAGTGTAATAAAACGGTTAAATGTAGAACTTACATTTATTTTACTTTTTTAGAAAGAAAATTTAGAGTAAGGGTTAATATGGAAATTTGATATATCACATTACCGAATATCGAATTTACCGAAAGTTCAGGTAAACTGACAATTTCGATAGTATGATACCGCACTGAATTTACTTCGATATCGTATCAGATATTGTTGGGTTAATGGCAAAATAAGAGGATCGGCCCATATAACCCCTTTGTGGATGAACGTCCAAGCCCAATGGGTCTCTGTGGGTAGAAATGAACGTCTCCACAACCCATAGCAGTTACGCTTCCAGGCACAAGGCCGACACGACGAACGTCGCCACACCTGTCTAGGGCCATAGGAGATAAAGCCCAAGGCTAACCAACGCACTTTTACACAAGGGCCAGAGTGATTCAGTACGATTAAGGGCAAGTGCTGTTTTGTGATAAGTGAATATTTTATCTCATACATTTGCGGTATCGAAACATTCGGGATATCAAAATTACACATTGTTATCATGAAAGTCGTTGAGATTGTGAAAGTCACTATCTCACTTATCACAAAACAGGACTTGCAAGTTATCAATGATCAAATCAGTTTTTTGCCATTTATCCTGACTTGAACTTGCCTCAAATAATTAAAACAAACAACACCAATCTAATGTTTGACTTCAAAACACAAAACTAACTGAAGACTCACGAAACACATACTCAAATTGAAAAACAAACTGAAGACATATGAAAATGTACCAACAACAAAACGGAAAGCATCACACACACAACATATATAAATGACCCATAAGCATTCGTTCACTCATTCATGAGAAGCAAGCTAAAGCAGCAACCATCACTGGTCTGGCTTTCCGAGGAGAGTGAGGAGAAAAGCCTGATAATGGCCAGAAGTCTCTTTGGCAACAGCCTGCTCCAGAGTGACACTGTTTCTCTTGAAATACAGCTCCTTGATCTCCCTCAAATCCTTCTCCGCCCTTGTCACTATCACCCGCGTCAATGCATCTTCATCCGTCCCCGATTTGGCCAATGCTTGACGAATCACCTATTTATCATTACATAACATTGTAATCACTCGCTTCCACATTATGATCTTGTAAATTAATTGATTGATTGATCGATTACCTTTTCGTAGTACTTCTGTGGATCAGTAACGCATCGGATAGTTGCACGCAGAGCCGTTTGATATTTGTTCGCTGAATCTTCCTTCAAATGCTACAATTCACCACATCACTAGTTTTAGTGAAGGGCTCATATTAGAGGTTAGGAGTTGGACATAGGATTATCGATCACTTTCTTTTATCAAGTCATATTTAGGACTTGATCTTACTCGCCGCTAAAGTGAGCATAGGAATGTCAATAACTTTTCCTAATCTAAACTTTTCTAATCTAATGATCTTCTTTTCATTTGAGTGCAAATGATCTTGTTTTATTTTAGTACGAAATATAATATTATGTATTAAGTTCCTAGTTTGACTTAATATTTAGACTAGGCTGAGTTTTTGTGGTGACTTTCTAGAAATGTCGTTGATATAGTGAATAATTAATTGATGTTGCATTGTTCATAGAATATAGGGGTGAAACACTTTCACTTCAGGTACACGCAGATTATGAAAAAGAAAGGGTGAATATAATTTTGAGACAACTCGACAATAAGATGAAAAATCCCTTATGGACAACAACTTTCCTACTTGGACTATTGAAAAAAATATACACATTTTCACAAATTGAACTTCACTGACTTTTGAGTTTCTCAATTTATTCATTCAAGTATCGGTAAACCTTTTTACGGAGTACTTATTTGATGACTACTAGTTTTTGGAGGTTAAAATTCCAACTAAACAAGCTATATCCTTTATTGTGTTAAAAGAGGGTGAAATGCATAAATGGTACCTTAACAATTAGTATTGTTGCGTTTTTGTACCTTAACTCTTTAATGAATCAAATCGATACCAAAATTATACATAAATGTTTCAAATTGTAGTTTTAGTCAAATTTGTGACAAAAAAAATCTTACATGGCGATCAAAAATTCATGTGTAGAGCCACCTTACAATGATGAAATGGACAAAAGAAAAGTGAAGTGTACTTTGCGCATGGAATTTGGACTGTCACGTATGATTTTTTGGTCAAAAATTTGAGTAAAATTGCAAGTTGAAACATGTATGTATAGTTATGATACTGATTTGATTCATTAAAGAATCGGGGTACTAATACGCAACAATATCAATAGTTAAGGTATCATTTATGCATTAAATGGTATACCAATAAAGGAGTATACACTTTGGCCCAATGTGGTCTAATATTTTGTTTAGTGTCTTGTTTTTCTTGTTGAAATCAGATTTGATCCTACTTTGTACTTAGTCTAAATGTATTTGTTTTTTGGTTAATTTGGATTCATCCCAATAAAACGAGAATAAATAAGCATATTTATATTTGTTAAAGCATTTGTCTCACACCTAAAAGATACAAAACAATTAAACACTATATAAGGCTTTGGACTACGCCTCCTATTAGGAGGACCTTTTAGAATAAATGGAACCCCGAGCCTTAACAATATTTTATATACGTAAAAAGGTGTACATGTAAATAATACCTTGGTGATTGAACAGCCATGCTCGTCTTTATAGCGATTGAAAGTGGCAATGAGCTGAGACTTGCTCCTGGTGCTCAGAATCCTCACTATTTCTTCATGCCCGAACTCCTTCTTCTTGATCGCACCGTGGAGGATCTCAGCCTCCGCCTGCGCTAACTTTGCGTCGATCTCATTCCCACCATACCTGTACACACCTGCTAAGGGGACCAGAAGCTGCATCCACCAACACAAATAAATTAGTCAAAAGAAGATTTGCAATTTTAATTCTGTCACATTCTATTGTTCCCACTAAAGGGTATGTTTAATACAACTAACTAAAAAGATACTTTTTGAACTTTTTATTAACGGTTAGTTTTTACTTTCTCGAAAGATTTTAAAAGAAAAATGTATTAGTTGTTTGATAAAACCCTGACTGTTTGATTTAATTATGCTTGGTACAAAAGCTGTATTAACTAACTAATGCTAAAAGGTACAGACTTTTTTAAAAAAAAAATTAGATATATTTTGATAAAAATTCTTAAATATTGTCTCATGAAACATACAAATAAAAGTTTTTAATGACTTTTCTAATAGTACAAAAGTTA